AAAACGTTTTTCAATTTTTTTCAATATTATTCTTTTTTGGTAGTAGGGGGGCATTATTTGGAAATTCCAATTCCAAGGGTACTTAAGGACACCCATGGTGGCTTGGTTCTGTAAAAGTAAAATACTATTATAATATTTCGGCTAGGGGTCTTTTTCTTCTTTTGAGCTTTTCCAGCATTTTTTATATCCTGCTCCCATCTGTTTGGTCTCTCCCTTCCACTATTGTCTTCTACTTTTGCTTCCAGAATATGTTTTCTTGAGCAAATCATGACGCTTCAAACATGCCAAAAGTGGCTTTATTTCAATCCCATTGCGTTTTGGGGAGTGTTGGTCTTTCTGTAAATCTGTTCTTCCATGTTTTTTTTTCATTTTTTATTTTCTGTCCCCTCTATATTCTTGATATTCATTTATAACAGTTCATGTGGAAAGCTGTAATCATTTCAAGAGTTTCACTTCATTTAATGGATAGTTTTGATGTGTGTTACAATCGTAAGTATCATAGCTGCTGTACAAGTTGCATAGTTAGCCAAATCGCTACCTCAGAACTACAAAGTTCTATCTGAAGTATTTGACCGTTTTGAGTTACTAAGACATAAAAATCATGAACCAAATGTTCTATCTGCTCGGTCAAAGTTATAGGATTATTTGTATTCTTTATCAAGATATTCAAAGAATTGCATTCCAAAATGCTTGGTATGTGAAACTCAAATTCTTTAACGTCAAATTTCTCAAAGCTAGGTATATGTACTGAGGACATAGAACTTCGTAATTCTGAAGTGACGAAATTATATACAGTGGAGACCGCTTAAACTGAACACGGTTAATCCGAAAACAGCGATAAACTGAAAGAAAGAAAAAAATCCCTGATTTTTAACTTCTATTTGAACAACCTCTTTAAATCGAAAACCCGGCAACAACAAAAGAAAATATGCCGGTGCCAGTTTTCGATTAAGTTTAAGCGGACTCCACTATACAACATGTGTAGTGTGTAGTACACTACTAGTTCTATTACTAGTTAGTATTACATGTATTGGCAATTTGTTGGTTATTGGTGTCCCATTGTTGTCTTGATAGTTTATAACTGTTTTTGCTTGCTTTGTTTTGGGGTTTTGTTGTTTGTCAGTTAGTTAGTTTTTAAAAAAAATTCTAACACTTTTCTGGGAAGGTCGTTCATTGGCACACAATCCGTCTCTACCATACCACAGAGTTTACAAAACCTGGATAACGATATAATTATACTATCCTAAATGATTTTCTGTGCTTAACTGAATAATTTACCATTGAAATTACTTTGGATCTGTTCTGCTTGTGATGCTGACAATGATTAGCTCCAGTATATGAGCTACAAACTGTTTTATTGCGTTTTTACATTTATTTGATATACGTGTGTTTTGCGCTTGCTTTTTAAATATTTCTAAAAAAAATTATTTTTACAGATTTCTGAATAAAATGAAATCAATTTTTAGATAAATAACCTCCAAAAAACAAGAATAAATTGCATCAAATAAGTTTTGTTTCAAACGCAATAATATATCAGTCGCGCTTTTTAATGAAACTTTGATCGAATTAACTAATATGAAAGCGTGCCTCATTAATCAGCTTTCTTGGCTTTTGTCTTTGTTGCTATTTTTGTTGCAGTTTATGAAAATTGTGTCGAATCTTAAATCTTTGCTCGAACAACCGAACAGTAAAAAGATGTTATCAGATTTTTGTTTTGTTTTTGTTCCTATTTTTGTTTTTGGGTTGTTGTTTGTTTGTTTGCTTTTGATGGGTTTTTTTATGGAAGGGGGGGGGGGGGGGGGGTTGGTAAGTGTTTAACAGTGCTGGTAACTGCATAAGGTCATATTAGCGTGCATCAGTTGTTTTTTTCTCTTTAAAAAAATCGAGTATCTCCATTTGTTTGCAGGGATGTTGTATTCTTCTCAACAGCTCAATCTGGTCCTAACAATATTCTTTCTTTTAAGTCCAATATTTTGTTATTCCATTTGAGAGCACAAAACTGTATGAATTTAACAAACAAAAACAAAAACCTAATGAAATTGAAATGCACAAAAGATAAATAAATAAATAAATAAATAAATAAATAAATAAATAAATAAATAAATAAATAAATAAATAAATAAATAAATAAATAAATAAATAAATTAAAAAAAACCCAACAACAACAGGCCTTTGCAACTAACAATTGCAAAAATAGGACAAATTAAATTGACAAACTATAAGAAATTTCATTTTTTCCCCAAACGTAAACACGAGAGAATGCCTACGTAGAGTGACATTTTTGTAGCCGTCTAGAACAAAATAAAAACGAAAGAAACTGTTTAATTCTTTGTAATGTTCTTCTTTATTTATGCAAATATCGTGAATACATTTTCATCAACAACCTTATTATGTATAATTATTCAAGAACCCAATTATACCTTTCAATGGGGAAAACTAAAAAAATATATATACAGGAATTTGAACATAAATGTACAGGAATTTGAACGTATATACATGGTTGTGGAGAAGATTCTCTAGTATACCCTCCCGTCCAACCCCTCCCCCAAACCCCTCCCCCACAAAAAACAAACAAAACAACAACAACAAAAACACAACTAAGCAACAAAGAAAACTCACAGTCATACACCAGCACAAAAAGACACCCCTCCCCCACATTCCAAACATACACGCACAGTTATAACACACATGCACTCTTTTAAGACATTTGTACTCTTATAATAATATACACAATTCTTATAACACACACGCAGTCGTATACACGAATGCGAACAGTTACACGCATCTTTTTTCTCGGTACGAATAGCATCATTTAGAGATTTTCGTTAGTAATCCAACCATTAAAAAAAACAAACACACACACACTAGAAACACAAAAACAAACAAACAGAAACAAACAAACAAAAACCGGAATGGTTGAAAACCAGGAAAACGACGAAAAGAAAACGATTTGTGAGAAGAATTAAGGGCAAGTTTGCATTTAACGAAGATTCAAATTGTGGCATTTTGCAAATCCAGCGACGTCTTTCATGTCTGAGTGTGGCATGTTTAAATGTCAACATCTAGGAAAAGGCCCAATAGTAATACAAAGAGGATCTTTTTTCTTTGGTAATACAATAATATGTATGTACATGAATGAATTGCGGTACAATTAAGTCAGAAGAACATAACAAGCAAATCAAGGAAGGGTGAACAATACATTTCGTGATGAGCGGCGAAAGCGAACAAGTAAAAAAGTGAGGTGCTCTTTTCCTGGATATTTTATCGGGAATAATAACGATGCATATGATATCATTACTGAAAACACATTACATAAAATGGGAAAAAAGAACAAAGTTAGTTAGATATTAAGTTGATTGAAAGGTGTGTGAAATAAAACATTATATAAATCTCTAATTTAACCCGGTCATCAAAACAACGTTCACCTTTCGGTTCCAGATAGGGTAAAAATTCGTAACGCTCATAAGATAATTATTGCCCAAGTCATTTTAGGCCGGTTTGGAGTTGTTCGCTCTGAAATGAGTAGAGCCAGCTTGATAATACACATGTAGTTCACATGGACAGAAGAATAATCCAAATGTAAAATCAATTGAGTGCATCGTTTCACAGAGTCAATTATTCGAAAGAAAGCGTCTAAAAAAAATCATTTTCTAAAATTAAATCGCTAAAAATGACTTACCCATTTATGTATGCGCGTGACGAATTAAATTGCCAGGAGTAATCCCCGACAGTGTGAGGCATATGTTAATGGCACACAATGGAAAAAATTCAATTATTTTTGTAAGCTCACCGTATCAGTATCAGAAACCCTGGCTATTTAACTGGTGTTGGCTTATGAAAGGTTAACTACTATATAAATAGTAGTTTGCCAACGAATATTTATTCTTTACACACACAGGGTCACTCAAGGGAACATCCCCGCCGTCTTTGCAATAGGCGAGGAAATAAAACGGTAAACACCTTGTCTCTAACCCACCACCCGACTCGCAACCTTGAAAAACAAACTGTTTTTTGAAGGTCATCATCGGTTTCCTTCAGTTTGTGCCACGATGGTAGCTTTTGTCTTTTCATGGAGGAAAATCTGGCCAGATAACATTTTCTTTGTTATGCAGCTGCCTGACTTTCTGAGAGTATGTCCAATCCATCGCCACCGCTTTCTTCCTACCTCATCCCTGACTGGGATCTATCTTGTTTTCCTTAACGCATCCTCGTTGGTGACCATGTCTGTCCACCTGATCCCCAGTAACTTTCTTAGACACTTGTTCAAGAAAACCTGGATCTATCTATGCAAGTCTGTGGTGCATTCTATGTCATTGCCCTCCACGGGAGAGGCAAAACCGACAAAACCGATGACCTTCAATAACAAACATTTTTTTCAAGGCCGCGCGTTGGGCGATCGGTGTGGGCAGTTGGGTCTATTTATAGTGTGCACTGAAGCCGCCAGAAACCGAACCGAACTGAACCCCACCAACCATCCCATCCTTCAATAGGCGCTGGGTATACGATGACTGATTTCTACTTGGCTAGGAATGATGTCGAGGAAGAGAAATGCACCCAAACTTGCGACCTGGACCCAGCCGAATCAGCTCCAGATACCATTACTGATATGACATTATTTCTTCGGTCATAGGAATGATTTTTGTATCATCTCATATTAAACTTGTTTGACAGGGGTTCTTATCTGACAAAAGTAGCATCAACGACGAGGCTTGTGTAAATTATTTGTATTCCAAATTTGCGAAAAACTAAAGTCCTTAAAGCAAACAAGCGTTTGGGTGCATATTTTGGGGATTTTACAATTTCTTTTAATTTTAACAAATGATTAAAAGGGCTGTTTCTGAGGAATAGAAAAACACAAGACACATAGGGTCAATAACGGTCATTAAGGTCAAGGATAAAAATAAGGCAGGTGCAAAGGGAAAGAAATGATGAAAAAAAAAAAGAAGAAATAGGAGCTACCAGTGGTGCCCCCCCCCCCCCCCCCCCCCCAAACTACTTGATAGCAATAATCCTTTGACTAAGAAGCCAATGTTTTTTTCTAATGCAGGTATTTTGGTATTTCTTAAGCTCCCACTGACACAATTTAGGTCGTTAAGGGGAGAGCTTCGACACTGCCAGACACGGCTAATTCGGGCTGAAGAAGGATACGATGTTTCAGCAGAATGACAGAGATACTCGATAAAAGTTCTCTCTACACGAGAATCAAACTCGGGACTCTTGTTGCGTGCCACGGCGAAGCGCCTAACCGTTACACCAGAGACGCCGGTGTCGACGAGATGACAAGGAAGAAAAGTAGATCTAATCATCATCATCATCATCATCATCATCATCATCATCATCATCTTCATCATCATCATCATCATCATCATCATCATCATCATCATCATAACATCTCGTCCGACAATGTCTGACGATGACCAATGCATCTGCAGAAGAGAATATTCCTTATAATAAGCCAAATAGAAGAAACAAAAGAGTAAATAAAAAGAGAAGTAGATACAGTGGAAAGGTGAGCAAAATCTCGAGAAGACACGTCTATATTTAGAAACCATCGTTGAGTGTGTGTTACGTCACGGGCCTGTCATGACGACCCCACTGTCTGAAGAGCCCGAGAGGTTCATGCTGTTGGCCGAGGTGTCCGAGGCATGGTGTCTGTACGTCATCATCTCTTCCGGGGTGGACGAGGAGGGCGAGAGGGCGGGGCGTGGAGGGTATGACGTATCTGGGTACCGCCCCATCCCTTGGTGAACGTGGTGGGCACGGTGGTGCTGCATCAGCGATTGGCCCGCCGGCAGAAGGGGCGGGGTTTGTAGGCTCGGGTGTTGCACGCCCTCTCTGCCCGTCATGTGGGAGGAGGTAGGCGTGGTACGTGAGGAGGACATGCCCATATTTGGAGCGAAGGCGGAGCTTCCGTGAAGGTTTACCTCGTGCTTGCTTGGGGAATCCTCGTCCAGCTCTATTTTTGGCACCAGGGGTTGTGATAAGTGAGGGTGCTGCTGCTGAAGGTGTTGCTCCGACAAATGACTGTTGTGAACGTTATTGTTGTTGTTGTTATTGTTGTTGATGATGTTGTCGTTACTGATATTGTTGCTGATGCCGTTGCTGCTGCTGCTGCTGCTACTTCCACCCATACCACCATTGTTTGTTGGGATCTGTTGCTGCTGTAGTTGCGCCTGTTCGTCTCGTTTCTTGTTCTGCTTTCGCTCTTTGGCCCGCCGGTTTTGAAACCAAATCTTTACCTGGAAGTGACCAAGAAAGAGACAGATTTTTTTAAAAAGAAAAATTAAATGACAGTTGACCAAAAAGAAAAAAACCCACATTGTTATTAGGTGTTGTTATTTGGAAGACATCTGGATTTATGTCGAAGCAGCAAAGTTACGAGCATACAGTAGCAATCGTTTAAGACGACCACATAATAATTGTCGAGGAGAAAGTAATTGTCTTAGACAGAGGGACGTGTCGGACAGTGTGGCTATATTTTAAAAAATACAAAGGGTGGGGAAGGGAGGGGGGAGGAGTGGGAAGTTGTCATTTATACAGGAGATTTTCTTGCTCAGGTGGTCATTGTAGCAAGTTAGAGTTACTTCGACACATAGGATCAGGAACACAATATGATAATGATATTGTTACGCTGAAGAGAATACGTATACATTAATTAGCATTATATCTATAAAGCAACAGGTCCCACTGAAGTGCCCAGTCATTGCACGTATCCCTGTCGTAAAGGCAATAGAAAAAAATCGCAAACGTTTTAGAATAGAATAAACAGAAAGGAAATAATGGAAGTTCTCAAAGTCAGTTTTGAGTAAGTTATTCTTTGTCCTCTTCTGCTTCTCTTACCCTTTTACCTTTTTTTGTGAACAGTTGGGAAATGGGGGGGGGGGGGGCACTCTAGAGTTGAAAAGTTGGTTTTGTTTTCTCAGTTCGACATCGTTATTGTTCACTGTGCTTTTTTAGGAGGGAAGGGAGGGGGGAACTTGTTTGGGATAAACTTAGCCTAAAATAATAATATGCACTCCTATTGGGTTTTGTATTTTTAATAAAACAGCATCAGCTCTTACGATAACTTGTTAATTCAGTTACACAAAAATCAATAAATGATGACGTGAAGGTCTCATCCATGTTATGGTTCTGCCATTTAATTCATTTGTGCTTGACATGTCCAGACGCAAAAAAGAAGGAAATCCAAGATCCACAATGCCTTGATAACGGATGTACTTAACCGTTGCAGATGAGTAGCTCGTCACCGGCCCTCTACTGCACCAGCCCAGGCCAGTGCTGGGAACGTTATTGTGATTATGTGTTTATTGCCGTTTATTTTTGTGTGTTTTACGTTCCGAACTACACCATAGTTTAGTCTGCAGTGGCCGAGTAGTTAGATGAGTTCAGGCTCACAATATACTGTCCCCGTCGTTTTATGCAAGAAAATTCTGAAATTATGTAAACTGCGCCCAAAAAAGTGAAATTATGCAATTTTGTTAATTTTAACAAAGAATTATAAAATAAAAAAATAAAAAATTATGCCCTCCCCCCCCCCCCCCCCAAAAAAAAATCAAATTTTGCTAAATTATGCGGGGTGCATAAAACTACAGGGACAGAATATAGATGTCAAGTATACGCCACTGACATGGTGTTTAGTTTTGATAGAGGTTTTACAGCGTTCGCAACTGCATAAGGTCATATGAGCGCCAGAAGATTAGAGGTATTACAAGAGAGTAACAAACATAAAAAAGAAGAAGGGGAGATAAGGACGATAGATGTTTCATAGGAAAGAAGAAGCAAGGTGTTTGGCAGGGTGGTCACAGGGTTGTGTCCTTGAGCAAGACAGGGGAACCCTAGCTTAAAGAAAATCTAAAAATTAAAAACGATAAAAAACAACAAACAAAAACAACAAAAAAGCGAATCCGAACAAAAAAGAAACAAAAACAAAAACTAAACGAAGACAACAAAACATAACAAAAGATCATCATCATCATCGACATCATCGACATCATCATCATCATCATCATCATCATCATCACCCACCTGTCGCTCTGACAGACCCAGCTGTACGGCTATCTCCGCCTTCCTCCGTATGGTGATGTACTTGCTGAAGTGAAACTCCTTCTCTAACTCCAGCCTCTGGTGGTCCGAGTACACCACACGGTACTTGTCTTTCGTCCGCGTCTTGCCTGCGAATAGACACGGGTGACCTGAGCGGGTCAAGGTCGTTTGAAACTGGGTCAAAATGGAAGCAAGACCTTTTGGCAAAGTGGTTAGTTGGACCCGTTAGTTTTTCTTTTCTTTTCTGTTTTTTGTTTGTTTTTTGGTTACCGTTGCATTATGTTAGTCTGTTAGTTTCCATACAGGTATTATATTATATACAATATATAATTGAAGACTTGAGAACAACAACAGGTTAAAGTCACATTTTCCTAAAAAATAGAGTTCTGCAAATCATTCGAAAGCAGCGACAAAGAGCAATTTATTAATAGCACTTCCGAAACGCTACTCCGTTCCCACGCCCAGTTATTCTGGTTCAAAGATACGAAGCCTAAATGCAACAACTAAGTCAAGCCCAGAAAAAAAGTAAACTTAAGCCCTTTAATCGGAACTTACTTGCATGTATTTCATGAATGAAGTTTTTGCTCATTTGCTCGAAATCTTCTAAATGTGACTTGACCTTGGTTTTGTTCTCAGGCCTTCAGTTATATAAAGAAAAAAGGCCAGCTTTCAAACAAGCTGTATATGGCACTTTCTTTCTTTGGATCTCATGCACACATTGAAAACCCTTGAAGGGTGGCATTGCGGAACGTACTACTATTCACCCAACATGGGAATTTCAAGAAAACCCAGTACTTTCCGTGATCTAGAGACGCAAATTATTGCTTTTCGTGAACCATTTTGTTTTCGGAGAATACCCCCCCCCCAAATCCCCTACACCCCCAATTTTTCTCCGTTTTGTAATAAACGGATATTCAGTCAAACATTCACATGTACAAATAGCTACTTCCCATTTCTTGCCTTGAGTTTTTTTAACTCTAAAGTGGAACTGTGTAAGACGACCACCTGTTTACTACGCCACTTTTCTCCTTGACGATGGGTGGCCATTCTTAGACATTGTCGACACTTTGGTAAGATATTCCATGAAGCCCATTCACTTTTTTTCCTACTTTGTGAAGGAAAGGAACGAGAAGACAATAATATAACGGTCAGACTACAGAAACTGAAGCGTTAGTCAATACACTTTCATGCATTCAGGCTTTCTTGTAATTGCAAATCAATACGGATAGATAGATAGATAGATAGATAGATAGATAGATAGATAGATAGATAGATAGAT